TCTCTCTCTCTCTCTCTCTCTCTCTCTTAATTTTGGGAGAGCAAATTAGTATAAATGGTGAGACAGTGCGGTAGAGAAGCCGGAGGAGGAGGGATCCACTGCTGGGGGAGCCCAAGGACTGGGGTTTGATTTGCAGGCGGTGAAAGCCAAGGTCTGGCCTGGGCTCTGGGGTCGGGTTGGGCAGACTCTGGGGTCGCTCTCACTGTGGGGCTGCGTGGGGGTGGGGAGTTAACTCCAGGAGCTTGTCCCAAGCATCCTGAGCAGGCCAAAGATGGTGGGAGGTGGGGGCGGGGTGAAGCACTGGGTGGCCTTGACCAAGGGAATTTAAACTGCTAGACTCTAAAGAAAAATTTCTCTGAAATATTTAAAGTCAGAATGAGGCTCTTTACCCAGGGTTATTTTGAAGAATTCAATGGAATTGGATTAAACCTGCGTCCAAGTAAGAGGACCTGAACACCAGCTGGCACTGGGTGATCACCATCCTGTTCTGTCTCTTGGATCTGAGGCACGATTCCTGAGCAGGCATGATTATACCCATTCTCCAGATGAGGAAACAGATACAGCGAGGTGACGCCTGCGGGCCCCGGAGTCTGGGCTCTTGGAAGCCGCCCAACAGCCAACGTCTGCCCAGGACTTGAACCCGGCCGGGAAGGTCACGGCCCCCTCTCCACTCTGCGGGAAGAAAGAGCTCCCAGCGCGGGGCGCGGCCGCGGGCCACCGAGATTGCGGGGGAACAGAGAGCGCGCTAGAGCGACAGCTCCTCCTTGCCCACCCAGTTTGGTCATTTGGGATCCAGATAGCGGCTGCCCAGGTGCTAACCGCCAGGACCACATCCCAAGGCCTCAGGAGCCACAGTGACCAGGGACAGGACGTCCTTGCGGTCGCCTGCACCCTGCCCCCCACCCACCACGTTTCCAAGCCTTGGGGCTGGGGGTCTCAGCAGAGAGAGCAACGCTTTGGTTTTCCTGGGTAGCTGCTTGGGAGGAGGGAAGCAGAGCAAGGACCCTCGCCCCCCCCCCCCCCCCCCCCCCCCGGGGCGGAGAATGTTCCAAAAAAGGGATCCCTGGGG